GCCATCTACATACATGTACCGGTGCATACCGGCATGTGTATGTACATGTACGTACATGTACATTGTACATGTGGGACACAGCCACATTCCAAAAATGTAATTAAATGCTTTTCACAATGGAATTCCTTATTTTGTTGAATATGACAATTGTTCAATCCCTGAAAAACTGACGTGACCTTTTGATTTTCAAAAGTCCTTTGTGTCAAATTGTGCAAAAGTACCGGTACAAAATTTGGAAACTGTCAAATCACCTTACGGGTACAGTACATGCTACAGGACAAATGCATGGCAAAGGGCCCCTCAAAAAAGGTGACAGTGAATAGAATGCAAAAATAGTTGACACCTGTTCATAAACATGTACATGTACATGTTCAGTATACAGTTTGTTACAGTAACAACGAAACCTTAAATTTTGTGTTTGCTATGATATTGTACATTTGTCAATGGAAAATCTAGAACACAATGAGGTTTGCAACAGCTGTGGTACATGCAATACTGCACATGTACATTGTACTAATGCACATGAATTAGACATTGCAAATTTATACAGAACTTTGTTGTACATGTACAGTACACGGTATGTACGGAGTACTTGTGAGTATACATTACCACTAGGGTACAGTTTTATACCTGTACATGTACGTATACAGCAGTGGCATATTCATACACTGTAATTAATTTTTTTTTAATCATTAATACATGTACATGTGCGTATATCGTGTACATGTACATGTACATGAGTTCTGGGCTGTCCACAGTATTTTTGTCAAATGCACATTGTTTTATTAGTGTTCTCTAACACTCAAACATATACGCTTAAAGATCAAACACATTGGTAATTCACTATTTCACTTTTTATGAAATTTAGATACCTGTAATTGTATATAAAACAATCTGTTATGTAAAACTGAATAAAGATTATTACTGACATCAAAAGCCCGAGTTGAGGTCGTCCTTCATATCAGGCAAACTGAAAACAAAAGTCCTTGGGAGCATTGAATAGAAGCCTGTATTGATGACGTCACACTATGGCTCTGCAGCTACCGGTATACGACTATTTCATTATTCCAGGGCGAATGCACCGGGATGTGTAAACACTATGCTTGCTCGCACTTAACTGTGAATTAAAAGAGGTTGGACAGTGAGAGTGATTTGGGATTGCTTTCCATCGACAATGTTGATCAACACTGGATCGAACGAAACAATTGAACCATCCCAATTGAAACGGGGTAATGTCCTGATGAATTTCAGGCAGATGGCCGAGGTCATTTGCTACGAATGACATTATACTTTTTCTCTGTTCTTGTGCTATAAAGCCCCCATTACAGTCAAGAGGTCAAGGAACTCTGGGGAATGAGAGCCGTATTACATGTACATGACATCAAGTTGCTAGATTTGTTTGCTGCCCTCGTTGATGCATTTTTAAAACTCTGAGCATTCTGGCAGTGGTAATGAACTCCTAAAACGACTGTGTTTTTAAAACATGAAGTGATGCTGCCACGTTAGTCATGATGTGGGTAACAATGACCAATTCCCTGTTAGATAACTATTTGACATCAAAGCAATGTAACGATCTACATGTACAGGCATAATGTACATGTGCACATACATGTATATCAAAGTACTGTACTACCAAAATCACTGTACCTGTACCCCTATTTGACCAATGGAAAAAGTGGCTTTGTTGCAGAAACTGCAGTGTCCTCGGCAATTTCAAGGATATGGGCATATATCTGCCTACTGTGCACTCTATTCACATTTTAATAAACGTACATGTACATGTACTACATGCACATGTACATACGGTACTGACACATGTACATGTCCCGGTACCTTGCTACTGCCATAAGTGACTGTAGTGATGAATACTAAAATCTTCAAAAAGCATGTATCGGTACATGTAGATGTATTTATCAGCCTAAATTTGTATAGGCAAGTTCAGGACCTCTCGAAGGGATTATGCTCCTCTACTAGAAAGATGTCCAGTATTTCAAGAAATTTAATTTAATACCGAAGGGCGGAGGGAGGTAGGGTACTGTTTGCCATCTGTTGTCACCTTGTGAATCTGGGACCAGCAATCTAATGTGCTCACGCTGTGGTGCCCTGCATACGGCGCTGACATGGGCAAATTACAGGCATGAGGGGTAATCTAATAGAGGATTCTTCACTCGGTGACAAAAATCAATCACGCTCTTTTCAACCCAACCCCCCCCCAAGTACATGTACATGTATAATCTGGTCTGGACAAGGGGGGGGGAGAAGGATAGCCAGCATTTGAACTTATTTACCCTGCATCACCCATTTGGGTAAATTGCTTGGATGCAATGCAACGCGATAGGGCCAAGACCTAGGGGTGTGTGAGGGCAATTTGGATTTCAAAGCGTGAACATACAGTTATTCTGATACCTACTTTGAAATTAATGCCTACAGTAGATTTTAATTTACTGGTGTAATGTGTTTGTGGCTTGATGATTCAGACCTTACAGCACACACCGGTAGAAAGCCACAGATATACATGTACATGTATACCCTTGTATCCTTGCAATGTGTCTGTTTTAAACATGCATGCAGTTTTAAACATGCATGCGTACATACATGTACACTGTACATTGAAAGTAGCGGTACATGTACAGAGAGTACAACAGCATACAACATGTGTATGTACCGGTACATTTAATACAACTACAAGTACTGTACACAGTAGATATTAAATGCAATAGGAATGCATACAGATTTATTTTCCAAATCAGCTTTTGTTCAGCAGTCAGTGAGGGTGAAATGAATGTACCGGTAAGACAGTGATTTTTTTCTCACAATATCTAGAACATGACCTCCCAAAAAACATGTGATGACAAATCATTAAAAAAAAACAAAATAAAGCGAAACAAAACTCAAATACATGTACATGGATGTACATTGTACGGTAGGTGCTCTTGTTTGGGCATTTAACTCCAAGACAAATTACATGTACAAGAGCATAAATGCCTTTACAGCTACCGGTAACACTTCAGCAATTACAGTACTTTGAACATGCATAAAATTCTACATGTACTATGCATGTAAATGTTTCCATTAGTTTATCAAAAAAGATTTGGGCTTCATCAGTAAATATTATACATTGTACGATGATCACGTAAAGGTATACCGGTACATGTACAGGTACGGAGGGATATAAGTTCAAAGTACACATACATGTACATGTAGGTACATGTACATTAACACACATGTCCATCAACTTGTAGCACGGAGGCTAATTAATAGACTTACATACTGTACATGTACATACAGGTGTACAAGTATCGGTACATGTAAATGGGCACATGTGTAATTACTGGGCTCAAGGATCAGCGTACTGTACATGTACATGTATGTGCACTGCATAAATGTACGTGTACAGTACACATATCAGATACATACATGTATCACATGCACATGTACATGTATCATGTACCGGTACAATGTACGACTCATACATGTACCTTTTTTACCTCAAACTACATGTACATGTAGGTAACCTTTCTCTGGTTTTCTTTTAACTAACAAAGTTTTTAAATGCACAATTTATCATTTATTCAACTCAATTATGGGCCAAGTATACATGTACATGTACTTGTGCGCATGTATCCACATGTACCCATACATGTACATGTATAGCACATGGGTAATTCCAGAAATTAGGGCTCCAAAAGTGTGACATTTTTGTGTCACCGTTACATCTAGGACTTTTTTTATTTGACATGGAAATGTCACTGGAATTGATTTCAAACTATTACTATTTGTTTGGCACATACCATAATTTCATTAATTCGTCACTCTTGCAAATTAGAAATGTGTTCTGAACTTACAAAATCATGTCAGATGTGACAGGGACACACACAAAAAAGGACCCCTAATTTCTGGAATGACCCACATGTAGAGCATCATATGGTACAATTTACATGTACCGCACACAAGTACACTGTGCATGTACATGTATACCCTTGACCGCAACTGTAAAAGCATTGTGTTCCAGTACATATGTTCCAGAACAGTAGTGCAGAAAGCAGAGAAGCAGGAAGGTTTCTGGGAATTCTTTTACCACTTGCACCCTGACATGTACAATGCAGCCAGAGTGTGATCTGCAAAACTGATGGATCTTCACATTGAAAACACCTAACATACATGTACATGTAAGTCAGAGCAACCGTTCTGTACTTTGTTCTCAGTATGGCACACCCTTCTTATTGACCAAACAATTAGCAAACAATTATACCCACTCTGGTCCTTTGTCTCAGGTGTTCTGTGATGTACTTCAAACAAACAGATCATACATGTGCATGGGTGCACATGTACATGTACATGTACAGTATGTGCATACGTACACACTGTGTAGCATTCACGTTATAGTGCAGTTTACTGCTCCTTGAACACACCTTTTTTTGGGAGTGTTTACCAGTAAATATCAAATGTTTTAATCAGTTCAGAACAGAGGCCCTGTAAAGGCAATCTGGAAAATTTATATTGCAGAAACAGCTGATGGCTACAGCTGTCAAGCACTCCACATGTCTCTGACAGCGGACTTCTCATTTCCCCTTGGTTTTGTACACATGCAACATCCAGGAAGTCTGTGGAGGCAGTCCTTGTGTTAAACTTGAACTTGCCTCTAGTGACTGTACAGGGCCTGCTGTTCTGGCAAAATTATATCGCTGCATGTCGCAGCTTCTGAGAATTGTAAAATGTGAGGATGCAGTAAAAAGAATTGTACAAATAATGATTTGAAAAGAGTCAGAATCTGTGACGCTGAGATTTTAAATTAGCTGCAATACGTGAACATTTTGCCTTGTGAGGAAATTATGTTTTGCAGCAAAAAGAAGCACTGTTTTTCAGTGGTTTAATACATGTACACTTTGCAGAAAAGAAATGGCATAATTGGAACAAGACAAAGCTGAAGGCAGGTGAATTCTCCACTTGCAAAATAAACGAACACGCATACAGTACAGGGGAAGCTGTACAGGACATACCTTGTCATATCTGGCCACAATGTCAGCTCGCTCCCTGTTGGAACGCTCCACAGCAGCCAAATCTTGCATTTCAGCTGTCAACACAATACGGAAAAAAAGATTTAATTGTGGCTAGTCCAAGAAAACTAAATCAGCACTCTCTGCAACATAATAACACTAGTACCAAAAGCACACACGCGCATGCAGACCTACATGTTTCTGAAAATGACCAATTTTTTGTGTACAAACTAAAGAAGGTGCTGCACAGGACTGCAAATTGGACTTCATACCACATGAACAACTACTCTTCTCCATGTCATCAATATTTCTTGTCTAAGAGACAAAGTTACCCTGCGGAGGTTTGGAGCTGTAAGCCAATGGACCGAGTGGCGAAACAAATTCACAGACAATACTGAGGTCCAAAGTTAATGTATCAGTACAGAAGGAAAGTTGCAGGTTATGAGAATTTATTAAGCCTGAGATCTTGCGATGAGAATAATCTAGAATTTTTCATTAATTGAGTGAAAAATGACCACTGGTAATTGCTGAAATATTCCACAAAAAAAGTGAAAATTGGTTGCACTGTTACTAACATCATTTTTATTTGAACCCCTGGTAACTCATGAACAAAAATGTTTAACAAAATGAAAGTGGAAATAGTAGATATCGGTATGCAGAACCATTCTCCTTTGTTTCCACTTTCAATTATTCAAAAACCTCTTTTTGTGTATGAATTACAGATAATTATAAGGTCAGTCACAGTATAACCAATTTCCAATGTTCCATGTTTCTCTTTTTGTGTATGAATTACAAATAATTATAAGGTCAGTCACAGTATATCAATTTCCAATGTTCCACAGAACAGACCTCTATACTGAATACATGTACGTCACATTTTGCTTTATGTGTAAGCAAACTGTGGCCTCATCAGCTACATGTAAAAGCAGATGAAAACCTGATTTGGAAAACCTACAACCGGGTGAAATCAACAATGAAAACATACATGTACAAAACAGGCCACAGGTTCACATGCACTGGCCATTTCATTTTCTCACGATGCACACCGCAGTATACACTGTACATGCACATGTATACAAGTTCCCTAGGTCTCCCTGCAGTTGTAAACTGCAGGCATGACCTCATTTCAGAAACAATATGAGGACATGACTTCATTTCAGACTTGATTGTGAGGAAATGATGTTATTTCAGTCTAGAATGTGAGAACAGGCAATCCCCTTAAAGAACATGCACAGTGCAAAAACAATGTACATGTACATGTACCGGTACACTTCCATACTTCCAAAAGTGGCAATGATGTTTTGAATCTTTATGGCTGACTGGGGAAGCACTGACCGTACAGCAAAAAAGCACATCTACCCTCGGTACTGGCAGTCACAGATATGGCTGCAATGTAATGTGTGAGTCTACTCTTCTTCCTAACCAGAGAAAAGGTTCAACCAAAAAAGGTCTCAGTAAAGGGGGAGGGGTAAAAACTAAGCCTTAGATGTAGTAGTACATATTTCTGTCTTCAGCTTAAGGCTCTAAGGACTCGAAATTAACGGGCAAAGCTAGCTAAAATGCACCCGTTTGTCTCAGAAATGCACCCTTAAGGTTTTTAACAGCAAATGTTTTACAGTGACTACCATGCTCTAAAAATGAAGCTCAAAATAATGTCACCGACAAACAGAAGACTGGAGCAAGAGGCCACAAACTCCCTGCAAGGCTGCATGAACTACATGTACTGGTATAAGTAATGTATTGGTACATGGATATACCGATAGTGTAATCCAACCAACAAGAGTCATTGTCAACACGGTCAAAGACCATTGCAGCCTGCGTACATGTACTGTACACATACATGTACATGTATACTGCCCTATGCAGAGTGTAGACAGGATCAATACCGTATTCATCTTAATGTGCACAACCCAAGAGCATCTTAGTGTAAGATGCCCTTGGCAAGGGCATTTACATGTACCAGACATGTGTAAATGTACATTGTAGGCAAAAATGTTCTCAAGTTTCAATCAAATTAAAAATTTAGCATTTTACCAATGAAAATACTGGTACACATACATGTACATGTATAGGTCTACAGTACATGTGTACATGTACATTGTACGTAAGTACATGGTAGTATACATACATGTACATCATGTATACCGGTACATGTAAATGTATATAAATGTTGGTACATGTACCACAACATGTCATGGTCTTGATTGTGGTTAGAAAAACACATGCGTCAATACCAGTATTTACATGCACATGAACATGTACGCGCATCAATTACAGGAAGCTTTTAGCCATCATTTCACGTATGGTATATGTACAGTACAGTGTGAAAGATGTCTACCTACAAGTACATTGTACTCGTACACGTATAATGTAAATTGTGCTTACCTTTGTTACCAATAAACTTGTACAAATTTCTTCACTCTTATGAACAAATAGTAAACCTACATGTACATTTACGTACACGTACACTGAATCATGCTGAATCATATCACAGTCATGTATGCCATGATGTATTTTACATGTACATCTATCATTGTGGGAACTGGTGGTAATTTGTGGCATGGTTGTTAGAACAAATAGCTGATTTCATTTCCTGATGAGCAAAGTGCGTAAATGATTTACATACCGGTAGGTTGTACATGTACATGTACATGTATGTACATAACATACAAATGTAACAGTACCCATGTACCAATACAATGTAGGTAAATATTTGGTACATGTACAGTACATGTACCGCTACATTGGTAACAAGCATGCATCGTGGTACAATACATGTACATGTAGTATGCACATTTACATGTACGTGTACATTTACTCAGGCTGTGCTTAATATCCGAATATTCAATTGATTACAGAATATTTGAATATTTTTTCCAAATTCTTACAACGATTCAAAAACTAAATTATTCATTACAAAATGAAAAGGAATAAAATTTCAACAGGGCAAGAAGTACATGTACATGAATTGTTCTCTTAAAATCTTGCTAAATCATGGCTGGAGATACTTTTAGACTTGAGAAACTATTTTACATGTACAGTAGTGATTATATAATGTACAATTGTGTGCATTATTGCAACTTATTTTGAATATACATGTACACATACATGTACATGTATGTATCTGCCGGTCGGTACAACTGAATATTCAGATATTTGATCAAATTGAAGGTCGAATATTCGAATAGTGAATTAGTCTAATTGACTCAGCCCCAATGTTTACATGTACCTTATAGGAAGTCTAACCCAACACTGAATCATATTTAGCATGCACTGATCCATACCCCCATTTGCACAATGACAGCAAATGAAGCACATGATGACTCAAAAGCAAATGGCCAAGGCCCAACAGAACAGCGCACAACAGACTTCTGTACTACATGTATACGAAAAGCAATAAAAACCAACAGCAAATATTCGAGTAATTAAACATACTGGGTAATTACCATTCATATACAGTACATGTACTAGTATACTGTACATGTACAATATGCATCATTTTACAACAAAAATTTCAATGTTAATATGACAGAGTTTCAAATCCTGAATACATGTGCATGTATGTACATGTACAGTTCATTCATGTACAGTTCACTCATGTACATGTACAGTTCACTCATGTACATGTACAGTTCATTCATACATGTATACATGTACATGTACATGTGCATCACTAGACTCCCTGCTACATGTAACAGGTTTATATACATGTAATTTTAGGCTGAATTTTAGAAATGCAGATGAAACGCAGTAACAGCATACAAAATTTATCATGTCATTGTCATACTTGATTTTTTTTTGGCAAATGGGGGTTAAAGGCCAGCCAAAAGCTTTGTTACCACATGTACATGTACAGGTAATATCCTGAACTACCAAATTGTTACAATTCTTTGCATAAAGGAAGTCTGCATTTTTTCAATGCTCTATTTTTAAAATGAGAAAGAAATAATAAAAGATACAAAAATCCAAATTCCAAATATGGTTCTAGCTAAAACTGCTTGTAAACGTATCGTGCATGTTCCCACTTACCGGTAATTGCATACAAGGAGAATTCAGTATATTTTTCAACTGATGTATTTTAAAACACCTGAGAAATAACTTTAAAAAATAAAAGCCATGAAAAAACGGGCACAAATTGACTCTCTTCATTCTCTTACCGTTCACAATCACTCTCACTATACCAGCAAATCTGCCAGGTCTTTTACCTTTCAACCAACAAAAATTATCTTGCTGCATCAAAATGTACATTGATTACAATATGTTCGTTGCGAACATTATATTTGACAGAATGTTGATGACGTTCGAGAATTTTGACAAAAAATGAATGACGTTTGAGAATGCCAAAATGCTGTCACATGTAGTGTTTGAAAATTCTATCCGCAATGTTCATTTTGCCGTTTATTTTGGAGATATTCCTGCTGAAAATTACATTAAAATGATTAACTGTGCGCATTAGATTTTCATAATGAATCGTATTTTATGTCTCCGACATCATTTTTTTTTCAAACATCATTCAGTATGACTGAGTTTCTTTCGAGAAACCTTGGTCCAAAGAGAAAAATCCCTGAGCATTGCCATTCCGTGGAAGGGCTCATGAATATTGAATGAAAAAGACAGTGCACCATCTGGGTTGATGTCAAAGGTCGAACAGGCCATGATGCAGCAAAATGTTTCTCTAACGGCACTGCAAGATAATAACGGAAGCCGCAAAATCGCCATGAACTGTATTTTGACTGCAATTTTCAGAAACGTACTCGAAGAAAATGTGATCGGTCCAGTCGTAACATGATGATGGTCTGGAGGTGCTTTTTTGCACTCTTTTTTAAAGCTGGTGTTGTACATCGATTTTGATTCTACTTGCTGTTTTTTTTTGCAGTAAATTTTTTTGACACTATTGACAGATTCGAATGATGTTCAGGATTGCCGACTTTGGGACCCGATTAATTGTGAGAGGTATTTTTAATTTTGTGAATTATGGTTTTGATATAATCACCTTTCACCACATTTGTGTAAAATAACCGCGGGGATTATCACCCCTCAGCAAATTTTATTGGCTAGGATTTCATTAGGTTGTTCACGTGCGTCAAAAATGCTGACATTCAAGACTTTAATCAATTAACTCCAATTAAGTTGAAAGATGGACACAGTCATCATTGTTCCAGATATCAGCCATGACTTCCCTCATTACATGAGACATTAGGAATTAATTCACTGCTGTTCTGTTCAAGAAAAATGAACCCCCAAAGTTGAACATTATCTAATGGTCCATATTTTGAGGAACCTGCCACATGTACATGTACACCTGTTTGTAAGATACAGCATTTGCAAGTACCGGTACATGTGTACATGTATGTGCACTGTACATGTACACAGGATGCATGTTACAGGTATGTAAAGTGTGCACACATACATGTACCGTGTATATGTAAATGTACTCACACCCAGGCCTGTACAATGTATTCAAAACTTGAATAGAAAGTTTATTTTTAGAAACTGGATTACTTTCCATAAGGAAATCAATACAAATTCAAAGAAACTATTACACATGGGTTTCTACATGTATACATGTACAAAGGTGTCGGAACAGAATGAATATTCCAGAGGAAAACCCATGGAGTCAGGTGGGGACTGAAACCTGATCCACATGCTGACCTAGGTGGGATTCGAACCCAGGCAGCAGAGGTGGAAGGCAAAGAATGAGCTACTACTGGGGTACAACCACCTGACTCCCATGAGTGACTAGTCCAAAATTAGGGATTCTAAATGGAGTTGCCTACATGTACACTGTACTCCAAATGTACATGTACATGTAGAGCTTCTCCCATCCCAGGTGTAACAGGTTGAAGAAAAAACTGAACACTTGAAATTGGACCCCAAACCTGCATGTACCGTACATGTACATGTAGCAAGCAGATGAACCTTATCTTTGTAAGGCCAAGTAATCATCACGTACATGCAGTTTTGTCAAAAACATGGCTTTTTTGTCTTTTTCTTTTTTACACAGCAAACTTTTCAAACATGTCCAAGATGGCAGAGCAATCTCTGGCCTCTACTGCTGATACTTTGATGATTAAAGTGTGCTTAAGGTTAACATCATCTAAACAGGTTTTAACTTGCACGTATAGCTATGCAGGGACACATGTACGTATGTGGTTAGAAACAAATAAATGTCAAATTATATTGCAAATCCCCCCTGGAGGAAACTTTAAAAGAAAACTTTGAATAAATAAACAAGAAGGCAGCAGAGGAAAACAAAGTGACAGAACAAGAAAAAGCTTCAGTTTTAATTTGGTTGAACGTGTTGAGATGTCACAATGCCATACTGGCAAACAGGTGAGTTAATTTCTCTAAGAGCTTCATATACGGACTTCACTAATTTTCCCTTACAGTGGTTAACTAGTAGTTAGCGTGTGATAACACGTCCAAAAAAGTCACATGTAGGAAACAAAATAATGAAGCATTTACAAATGTACTTAGAAAATACTTAAAATTTTCAGGCCAGTCCCAGAGGTTTGTGCACAGGGTGTCAAGTGATGTCCATGTATCGAACCAGTGATGGAAATAAGAAAATAAACTTGATTAGCAGATTTGCTAATCATGTCATTTGATTACCATTATAATGAAATTGACCAGCAAAAAATAAATGGGCCTAATTCAGTACCATTACACCATGGTATCCAGTTTTTATATCCACTGATGTGTACACCAAGGCTCAACAATAAAACAAGACTCAGGTATGGTATAGCATGGTTGTTGGTAATGGCTCTGGCCAAAAATTGGGTGGAGAAACAATTTTTTACACAATCAAAGGGAAAATAAACAAAAACCCAGCTGACAGCAAGACCCTACTCGTGAGTTTTTGGGGTGCCATTTTAGATCCTGAGATGTTCTACATTTGACCTAGATCGGTTGGTGAGTAAAACATTAGTAAAATATTTAACAAGAAAAACGAAATGGGGTACATGTACATCACTAAAAATTGCACTGATCAGAAATCACTGTAAGAGTTGGTGCTTTATTGAGATTTGACAAATGTTCTGCAGAATTTCGAACGGCTTTGATTTGGGCCTCTTGCAAGCTACATAACTCACAGTAAAGGACGATGTCTTCCGACTGATTCTTTTGTTTCAGCCATGGCGTATCTCTCTGCCATTTTCCAACGGTACATTTGGACAGTGTTTCAACATTTTTGTTGCGCATTGATCACAACGAAAGGACAGAAGTTAACACATGCTTACGTACCGGTACGTGCGAAGCTGGTATCGCACTTGGGGTGTATGTGCCAACGCGCACGGCGCCACTTATCAAGTATTGAATGTACATGTGTGCGCTCGTACCGAACTACTACACGTGCTATATAATCCTACCAAATTGCAGCAACCTTGTTTTCCAACGATCTGTGGGCCTCGTGCTGCGCGAAACTACCTGGCAAGAAACTGAGGTGAGTTTGTTTTGTCAAAAATTGCATTTTTGCTGTGAAGCCGCTAGCGGGGCAGGGGCCGATTTCCGATCCATGCCGCAAGCTCACCGTGTGCACAGTGGCCGGCAGGAGAGGGTTGTAAGGGCCATTCATGCATGATTTTAAAAAAAAATTTCCATTCGCAAAAATTGCACATCAGTTTAACGTTTGTCTCACTTTTTGTACAAAATGTATCGCATTTTGCAATGCGAGTCCAGGAGTCCAGCTATTTCCATCACTGCGAACTCTTTCCAACTGTTTATGCTCTTGAGATTTCAGAAACTGGTGACAGAAGGGAGGGGGTGGGCTGTGGCACTGCTGATTTCATTTCAAGCATTCTTTCTCCACAGGGGAGGTTTATTGGGACAAGCTGTCTTGCTTACATTTGTTAGACTTACTCACTTCACAAAGAAACCTGTATGACTTCTTGGGTTCCAAATCATTTAAATATATAAAGCAAGTTTAAGATCTGAGCACCCTAGTATAATGATGTTCATTGGAGGCACTCTTTCCAAGATTCTACTCAAGCACAGAGAGAAGGAAAAAAGCAATGTTGACACCTTGAGAGTGCACCCATGTATGTACATGAATGATATAACCATAAAGAGAATCCTCCTTGAAAATCTGCTCTTTTGTTTCACTGCTGCCACCCCAGCTTAAGCTACATGTAAATCTTTGCTACGCTGACAACACTAGTTTCATGTATACATGTAAGACAGCACTCTAAGCAACGACATGTATGGACATACACAAGGACACGTATATGTACATGCAGACCTTCATTGCATTGAGGAGCCAATTTCCTTTGTGAGGAAAGTCAGGGCGGGCTTGTGGAGACAAACGTTTGTCTTCATTCCTTTTTTGGTCCCAACATCTATATTTTGATACACGCTAAAACCAACCCAAAATAAAGACTGACTAAACAGTCACCAACTGGTACTCACACATGATGGCTATGGTATTAACCTCCAGCAACTAAAACGTCTTCATAACGGTTAACTACATCATGTAGTGACGTGTTGCCTGCCGTTCAAAATCCAATTCACTATGATGGGTAGGCCTATGTCATGGTATCCGCTGATCTACATGCAGGGTTTTTTACACAAACTGATGGGAGGATGACTCATGCCAGAAGTTCTGGAATGCAAAGAGATTTTGGGAACGATATTATGAAAGGACTTATCATATTTGTTTGCAGTACCCATGGCTCCTCTGACTCCAACCAGCCGGCAGACCGTGGGCCGCAAGACAAGCTTGGTGCTCGAAACCTCAAATAACACCCACCCTAATGCTCATGACATTGGGGAAAGACAGAGAATTTCCTGATATCATGACTATCAACGAACATTACGGTTACAAAAGGATGCTCCTGAAGCCATAGCTCCATGCTGAAGCTAAAACGTACGTGGTCAAGTCTGCAGGTGATGGTGTTAAAGACCCCTGCACTGATGTTAGTAAGCAGGAAGTTCAAGTCCCAACCAGGTAAAATTGTCCAATTTTTCTTACTAGAATGACTTAGCTTTCATCAGCCATGTCAGTTGCCTTAGACAGGACAACAATAAGCTGGTACATGTACATGTAAGGATGATAGGCTTGCATTCTTGCGGTCGGACATCCAGGAACTTCTGTTTATTATTCTAGCGCACCAAGCCTCCAAGGGTAAATTTGCCCTTTTGCCACGTGTTAAATGTTTGTAGTGGCGTCATGCCGACTGCGAGAATTGCTTGTAAGTTGTAGGCCCCAGGCCTACTCTTTTTCTTTTTTTTTTCTCTTTTTAAAAAAAAAAATAGGCCTAACATTAGAATACATTGAACTGCTTGGCTTAAAATATTTAGGCATGCCAGTGACTACTTCCTGAACACTACTCAGTAGGCCTTACTGCACTCCACCTATCTGATGGTTCTGCACCCGGTGTCATTTTGAAGGTTGCCCAGCAGTCGTACCAGATAAAACATTCGTTCACACTTGCTTAAGCAAATCTTCCCCTGAAGACCCTTATACTGAAATTTTACCCATGTCGACCTACGGGATTTGAGTGTATTTTGTAGCATTTAACCAATATTATTGTCAAAAAATGAAGTTTTTTCCTACCATCCTTACCTCTCCTCCCTCTACGATTTGCACACATCTGCATTCCCTTGTGGCCGAACGTCACGCGCCAAAAAACAAAAAAGATGGTAGAGAAAACCTCGCTTTTTGATAACTATATAATATAGGTTAAATGCTACAAAATACACTCGAACCCAGTAGTTTGATAAAGGTAGAATTTCAATACACATGTAGGCCTAGGGGCAAGCGCTAATGGATGTTTTATCTGGTACGATTGCTGGGCAGCTTTTTAAAATGCCATAACATGTGGAACTAATGGAGTGCAGTAAGGCACTGTAGTGCCTTACTGTTCAGGAAGTAGTCAGTGACAGGCCAAACACTCAATAAGCCTAGGCTACCCCCAGAATTTTGGCATTTATTACCATTATTAGCACCCTGTTCCTGTAATAAAGAAATAAAGTCTACATTTTCGAAACAACTTACCTAAATAAGTTGGCGGTGATGTCCTCTTTCATATCAGAAAGAAAAAAGGGAAGGGCTTTGGTTTTTGAGTGAAATTAAGGGGTAAAATGGCAGAGTAAAATGACATGACCAAGAGCCATGAACGAAGATGAATTTGTGCATGTAGTCTGGTTCCTTGACCTGGAACCATAAAAGTTTCTTTTACAAATTCACTATATCCACAATGGCTGGGTCAGGTAACCAGACATGAAACAAAATGAAATTGGCGTGATGTGGTTGTCTTTCGCTGAACGCGAGTAAAAAGAATTCTGGTTTTGTTGCTTAAATATTGTCAAAATTTACCCAAACTAGAGCGGGATTAAGGAATGGATCCTCAAAGTCTGAATGTTGGTTAGTTTGAAAAAGTGGACTTCGTTTTCCTTAATACAGGAACCGCGTGCTACTGCCAGTAATGCCATGGTAATGAATGCCAGAACTGTGTACCCCCAGAACTGGGGTGGGGGGTCCAATGTCCGCCCCGCTCCCACGTACATGTATCTCTCCCCATTCAAAATCAAACTAGGCCTATACAAATTAAAATAAAGGACGGGTTCACTGTCTAATTCACTGCCTCAAGCTAAAGATGTGCAAGAAGTGGCTAGGGACTGACAACTCATTTACTCAACAGCAGGTATGGTGCTGGGGTCAGGCTGAAGGCCTAACCATCATGACATTGCTACATCTTAGTACTTGGGGCCCCTGCACAAAATTGCAGAGCCAGGATAAATCTATGGTATGGCTAAATTTCTCCAAAACTCTGCAAAAACATAAGAAAATACACCATGTTAATCAATACATATATCCCTGCTTCAAGTAAATGACAACAATTTTATGTCTCTGGTTGATGAAAACCTTACTTTATCGAATGAACACAGCTCGACCTTCCCTGTTTGACATGTCAAGTGTTGTCCGCCATGTTGAACAATTTTCCTGGTGCATGTTATTTGATCACGTGACCAAATATCAAGCGAGGGCGTCCCGACAAGGCCGTGGACGGCGCGAATCGGCGCGCTACCGCGTTGTACTTGTATGGACACGAGGGCCTAGCGCTAGCGGTGGGCGGGTTTCTATCAACCAGGTTCTCACTTTTACATGTGACTTCAACTAGCACCTGCAACCCTTCTCCACATTTCAAGTCCCCTTCCCCTCATTTTAATCACTCAGAGGTTTTTTAATATTGAACTCTGACCATCCTGAAGAGAAAACACAGCAGTTCAATCTTACACAGCAGTTCAAATGCACTTTCGTCATTTGTACATTATCAAATTTATTAACATTATGTGAATCAAAGAAAAACCCCACAATATACATGTACAGTTACACAGATTATCACAACATAAATAAAACCAGCCTACAAAATAACCTTGCACATTTTTTTCGGATACTCTTAGAATATCTTATTCCACAGGAATTCTGCTCAGCCAGGCTAGCATCCCACAAGGCATCCAATGCCGGGTGCAATTCATAGTGCAAAATTACACAAAAAGCAATAGTTCACATGTGGTAGTATTCAATTAGACAAGCCAAAATCATTACAAGTCATCAACCAGAAAAATGCCAATGCATCCAGATCACACACCACCGTGCATGGAAGGACATGAACAAATCTACAACACTTAAGTGACAAACGCAGCATAGCCTTTAATTAGATGAGACAAAAGATAAATACTGTTATACAATCTGTAGTACAAAAATGTTTTTTCCTTCTGTTTTTCCCACAATGATTTTCCATAATCAATTTGAATCAATATTATCCAAGTTCTGGGTACAGGGTTAGCAACAAGCGGAGGCAGGGTTGTGACTTAGGGGAGGGGTTAAAAATTGTGCCCATTACAGTCATGGTAATGGATATATACAAACATACACAAAACAGAGGCAATAAATGTATTGAGGTTGTCATTGAAAACATAGCCATGTTTGAATTAACTGGCTCCAGCCAGAAGTGTCACATTGGACTCTATGGTGACCCATTGCAGCCGTGCTCGTGGCTATTTCACGAAGCTATTCCACAGTGGAAGCTTACATGTAAGTTTGCAGAAATATCACCCTCAAAATGTACATGTGCTCCATTATTTTTGAAGAAGGCTGTGTTTCATTTCATCATAAGTAGTGGGGTTAATTATTTGGTATTTGGACAGCTGCATGGAATTTCGAAACACTCAATGAACAATTGGTCTGCTTTTTGTACATACGGCCAGCTAGTTTCACCGCCCCCCCACTGGTAGAAAAAAAATATATGACTGTGATGTATACAATGAGCAGACCCAAATCTTCTAAAAGACCAGGAAAACTGAGGTCATTTGAAAGCATATCATCTCCAGATGTGGTTTCAGGCTATTCAATTTAATGACACCAGCCTCCTCCGCCCACCCACCAGCTCAGCAACAATCCACCCTCTGCAGCAGAAACATCTCACCTTCTGCAAGGGAAGAGTGCCGCTTGAGTTCCAACAGTAAATGCTTGGAAGTGGCTCTGGAGCCTGTGCTTAAAGCAAAGGTCAGAGACCTAGGCGAATTCCATCACCTCTTTCAATAGGCCATGTCCGCAAGACTTGATTTGGCTAGGACTTACAGTACATACAAATCTATGGGAAGTGGCATTAGCCACATCATAGACTTGTGTGTAATTTCAAGACGCAGCCAAGTAAATTGGAACAGCGGTAAACTTCTTTGATATTCAGCTTGAGCCAATTTATTAGTTAATTTAATACAGGGTACAAACCAATACAGCAAGCAATTAGCTTCGCATATAAACTTCTTAGCAATAATTTGCAGTGCAACAAAATTTTGGCTTGGTGGGTTGCGCTTCTGGATTATGCGTTTTGTTTTACAGCCCTGTCACTTCTTATCCCTTGACGAAAAACATTTCCTATGATCGGTAAATCCACCAGACGGACTACGAGTATAACTCCAGTACTTTTGTTAACAACTACATGTAACACTGCGAGCAATGTGGACATAACATGTACAGTTTGTAAATAGGAGTACTTCAATATACAAGATTTTCAGTTCAACCTAAGAACATGCTACTTAGGCTTGCAAGGTGGAGGAGTTTGCCGGGCAATTGTATAATTTATTATAACATCTTTAAGTAATCACACACGCATAAATACAACAGCAACTCCAGCCAGTGGTCTTTGCCGACTCCAAAATGTTAACAACTTGTGACTGGTGCACAGTGCTGGTGTACACCACTGCTTAACAGAGTAAAGCTACAAATCTTTGGGCTCATAAAAAATAAGTGACATCGGACATAACACTAATGGCCAAACAGCACGTTTTCTTTCCCTCTGATCTCAAGGCTGAAGTTTGTGTCTCAACTGGGATGTGTGTTTTCATCGTCTTTCAACTGGCTTTGTCTTCTAGAATTTTTGCCTTGGACAATGACAAGGGATTTCAGTTCTTTCTAATGGAATCAAAATCAACTGCTTTACAAAAACTTTCCAAGAACAAAATTATTTTAGCCTCAAGTGGACTACAGGTCTCACTTTTATGGGATTGTTTTCTCATGTTTTGAAAGCCCTACCTATTACTGAAAAGACTTTTGTACAACTTTATAATTTATGTATACACAAAGTACTTCTGTTGTAAAAAACAGAAAGAAAGGAAATTAAGTAATGTTCACACTGTTTCATGACGCACAAATGACACAAGGCTTGCTATTTCAAGGCAACCATACAAAATTTGCTTGATACTTCATTCTGAACCCAAATATTCAAACTGATACCTTGTCAGAGGTTGCTGTGATGCCATGCAGAAAGTTGGCTCCATTTTGTAATCAAACCACAGAGAGTCTTCTCCCAAGAAAATACAAGACCAAAATGGTTGGCTGTGCCACTCACTTCGTAGCTTTGGTCTTATATTTGACACACGTCCACATAAACCTTGCATGACTGCGAATCTCTCTGACTGGTTGAATGCTTTTGAGAGTCTATGGTGGCTATGGATAAATACACATGTAACACGCACTTTGCGTCGCTGAACGAGCTGGATTTCAAAGAGATTTCACAGCTGTCTGTACGAGGCAATCCGGGCAACTAAGTAGCCATTTGCCGTATTGTTACTTGCAAAGTGCACTAAAGCGTACACATTGCCAAATTACCCAATTTATAAATGTTTCATGGGTATTCATGTTAATTTTTCTCAACTCTTTGATTAGGATGCCATTTTCTTTCTTTCTTTTTTGTAATGTTTTTAAACATTTTAAAAAGAATAGCAAGCAAACAAAATTTACGGGCCAAGAGCAGCTTTCAAGAAATGAAGGATAAACTTGAATAAGTTAAAACTTAATGATGGTTACAACTGTTAACTGATTGAGAATATGGCACCTGTGGGTCACCTGACAGTTTTAACTGTCCAATCAGGTGCATCTTGAGTGAAACCAAGTTGGCCCTTTGGAGCGTGCAGGTAGTTCCGGGATATCAGTGTTAACAGCCTGTCAAATATGGTTCGGCAGTGTTCTTAGACTTGCACTTGTCCATTACATAAACATACCGCTGTCAACGTCATGCTGCAATTCGTTCAGCCGCAACCACAGTTTAAAAGCAACTGAGGGTTCCCACTTTCCATAATTATTGTCTGGTGCTAGGTGCATGTGAAGCCAGTACAGTCTTTTCTCTGTACAGAAAATCCTCCGAGATTAAGTCTGTGTGGCAGACGTGTCCCCGACATGACCATTCCTGGGTACTTTAGCACGAGTTCACTGACATTATCAGATGGTCAAGTCCTAAGGGACAGGCTTAGTGCTCACCGGCGTCCGATCCAGTACATGATACCTGCAGTTGTCGCTACTGCTACACTGACAGCAAGAAATAACCTGAACCCTTCTGAGGACTCAAGCTGATAGCTGAGGGCAGCTCTCTGTTCAGAAAATGAAAAAAAGAAGAAAACCCAGCTTGAATTACCATACAAGTTTTATGATCTGGGGCAGTGTTTGAACGCTCAAGTAATAAGCTGGCCAATAAATTACCGGCGCTCTCCCACCGGAAGTGTAATGCAGGATGCAATTCCCTTTGAGTGAAGACTCCAAACTGAGTGATTCAGAGGGCTCATCTATTGGTTTATTAGGACGCAATTCAGTTGTTGGCTTTCCTAGGAACTCCTGTGAATGCTCAGCATGTCTACAGATGCACTGAACACAGACCGTTTCCTCGAGGCAAATGCTGAAGTAATCATAAATTGTGCAGTGCAAATGGTGTGACAGGTATTTAATGCTTGCTCTGTCCTGGATTCGTTTCACAACTGGATGTAAGGGTGGCTCACCAAATAGTGCTCTTCAACAATATCTAATAGAAGTCATCGACTGTGATAACATTCTTATACAGTTTGGCTGTGTATGGAATGTTTTGCTGCAGCCAGAAGTGACACATGGGGCTATGGGTAGTGACACGTGAGTCTATGGGAAGTGGCAACTGTGGCTAGACGGTGGCTTACATTGGTGCATGTGTTCCTTTCAGCTGTAGCCAATACTTTTGGACATGGCCTCAGGATGTGGTATAGGCCGTTTTCCAATACTTAACTTCGTCTCCGTCTCAGGCTTCGTTCCCAAAACCAATCCCCGATTGTGGGCCTGAAGTGTTTGAATTACACTGAATTACTGTAATTTTTGGCTTTCTTGCATCTTATTGGATGTTCCGTGGCACTATTAAACTGATTACTGCGCTTACAGCTTCAAAGTCAGCTAGTAAAAAACAGTTGAAGCCTAAGACGGAGCCGAAGTTGAGCATTGGAAAATTGCCATAGACCTTTATCGGGCAGACTGCTGCTTGTACGTGTGGAGGTAATGTTATGCTACTGGATTGTAAATAATTCAGCTGTCAAAATAAATGCTTAATGTAACTGCCTGATTGACCCACGTGCCTATTACTGTATCTGGTTAGAAAAAGCGTGATATTGGGGCTTACCCATCCGCCCTGCTGTGATATCCACTGAGCGATTCTCTCCGTGCATATGAACTGAACGATGCTGCCGATTATCTTGCCGATGAACTCGCCGATGCCGGCTTTGACACTGATTGCCACCTGGTATCCGAAAGACAACAGTGCGGCTATTCGCCCCCAGTTGATGCCTTGCGTGAATAGTCTGGAAATAAAAACCCAATAAATTCCATTGTAATTTGCTTGGACATCATACTTAGTTTTTATTGGTGTTCAGGGTTATCAACAGGCCAACTGTTGGGTAGTATTTTGGAGAAGCACAGTGAGAAGAGCTCTTGTGGGTTATGGCCAGGGATCGAGGGGCCTGTTCAAGGGGCACCTACTGCGCTCTAGGGGCAATGCCCCGGCGGGGGTTGAGGGACAGAGCCCCCTAAGGCTCCAGGATTCTGGGGTTTTTTAGGGGCAGGGAAATCAGGTTTTTAAGGCATGTTATTAAGTGTAATTTGTGTGTGTAGAAAGTGGAATTGTCAATAAAGAAAGATGAACACAGAATGAAGTAACACTTGTCTCATAGTATTTGTGCAACAATATACAGTAACTGTCAAAACACTGTTCTTTCAAAAACTAAACAGATTTAATGACCTTTGACCAGGTGAAGGCAGATACGCTCATCAGAAACTTTTTGACAATTGGCGAGAAAACATTTGCATGCACACGCATGGTATGACTATCATCATTTGCCTCGTACCCAGACTTCAATGTGAATTGTGTACCACGCATACCGGTACAAGTTCTGAGAAAGATAAAGTCAGTTGATACTACGTGTATGCGTAACATATGGCGTGCCCACTCCTGCTGGAATGTGACTGTGCAAATATAGACAGTACTGCAATACTGGAGTACTGCAAGTGAAGCCCGCCTCGCGTGTTGGGATATGGGGGCATATGACCGCTGTCGTTCATTTCAAGGCCTGGATTTGGGGGGGGAGATGGAAGGGTGTTGTGCGACAAGCGCCCCCTACATTCAAACTCTTCTCATTCAGTATTGTGCAGCAATGGCGTGCACATCCTTTATTTCTTAGCTGTGTGAACATGGACCATGATCCACGAACAGCCGGCAATAATTTTTATTGACAATTTATTAATTTCAACTGTGACTCGGAGTGTTTAAACCTGTATGGTATATTTTTTATATGGGGCTCTCACTCGTATTTACCGGCAATTCCTTTTTGACAGTGCCGTGCCAACTTGCCTACGCGTTGCCCAGACACACGTTTGTGTGCAACGGTCGGTTGTGCGTGCTGCATCTCCACGCGCTGTAAGTTTTGATTGAGCGTGAAGAATTTTTTGACTATACATGTACCCAAAAGCAATGGACAAAATTTGAATGGGACGCATCACTCATTTTTTTAATGTTGTGGAAAAAGGGTCATGTTGAAGGGAAGGATTTCCTTTAAACGACTACAGTTGGAAGGTGAGGTCTTTAAACATACAATGTACATTTCAGAAAAAAAAAATTTACATTGAAGGTAGGAGTTTTACAAATCAAATCATTGTTATGCATAGAATTTACAGGTTTTAATTTGAGGATATCACAATGCAGCGTGTGCATTATAAACGTGTTCGCATGCAGGATCCATCATAGCTGGATTGAGAAGCTGAAATGGGAATCCTTTTCTAGAATCTCCATAAAACAAAAGGCTGGTGTACGTATTAAAAACAGGAAAAGTTCTTCAATAATCCTTGCAGATAATGGAAACAATGGAGTTTGGAACTTTAAACGAAACAATTCCTTATGCACACTCCCTATTAATGAATGGAATAGGCTTACAGACCGTTGTAACGTAAACGTTAAACACCTTTCGCCCTCCCTTCCCCCGGCCTGGATTGGTACGTAATTTAAGCTTACTGGTACTTCAGTGTTCTTGCAGTTTTAAACAAGGAATTAAGCACAGAAATATCTTATAATTGCTAAAGACAGATAAATACGTGAGAAATTTTCCGATTTTTAAAAGAAATTTTACCAACTCTGAGAAAGACATATGTCTGGGTGGTCAGACTCAAAATTAAAACAAGTGCCGGGCTGAGATTATGAGAGCTAGATGGCCCTGCCCACCGCCGCCCCGCATAGCTAGGACCCTGTTTGTGTTCGGTCTCAGTCTAAGATACCTCAGTCTCGGTGTTGGGAAGTTGTCGTCTCGGTCTTAAAAGGGCTGGTCTTGGAATTGGTCATGGTCTCTGTCTCAACATGCCTGGGTCCAGTCACTGTCTCAGACAGGGCAGTTTCGGTGACGACACCAAAACTCACACTGTCTTCTTTAACAACTCCAAAGCAGGCCTTAGGATGCCCTTGGCACTAAGAATGCTACGCGAATTACTCTAGGAGTAAACGAAAAAGTAAATAAATACTCTAAATCATGCCAGATTGTCACTTCATAGACACAGTAAAGTCAAGAAATTATCTGATGGGCTTTTAATGTCGCTGTCTAAAAACATTTTCAACTTCCATATTTCAGTCTTCGGTAAACTATGATCCCAAACCCATGTCAGACAGTTCTCAATAAAGAAGGTAACCACAGTACGTTATGAAGAAGCAACAAATTAAAAATTAAACAATTTTAGTTTTAGACTTTTTAGAATTTTAGCGTTTAGGTCACAGGTGTAAAGTAAAAATACCATACTTAACCTAACAGTCCTCAGTCCTGCAAATACTGAGATTTAGGACTGTTAGGGCTAACAATTATATGCAGACACAGATGTCAAAACTAGTTCTAAAAGTTACTTTTCAACCAGTCATCACAAAATGAGCTATACATCTACATTTCAAAACTTGCGCCAGACGTGGAGCCTTGAAAATAACTTTTAAATCTTAATTTCTGGAAATGGGCTGGTGAGCGCACAATCAAAGTCAACCCATTTTGTGATTTCTGGTCACTTTTTTTAATAAAAAGACATGTTCTTACCTCCTGGCAACCCTCGCAAACGCTTCGTAAGCAGTGGCAGGCGTGATGCGTAGTTGGCTTATCATGTCACGGAACTCGCACTCGTACTGGGAGTTAATCTCGTCCCCAATCTGTGCCAGTCGTCTGCCAATCTGCGACGTTGGACTGTCGGACGGAGAAGCAAGAGAACTGCATGAAGCTTTAAAAATTATGTAGACCCCTGGCACATGTTCCAACACTGTCAAGTTCCAGAGCTCCCATCCTCAGAAAGTTTTCCAAGTAATCCTTAAGGATGATACCCTCATAGTGTTATTTGATTGTTGTAATTACCGTCCACCATCATAGCATCACATGATATCAATAATTCAGAAACTACAAAAATATTCTCGAGCATTTTTTCATTTCTTCTCGGTCACTGCTGGCCCCAACTTTTCAATAGCTGATTTCATGGAACTATACATGTATATGCAATAGCTTAATTTCACTTGCAACAAAGTTTACGGCACAAGTTCTGCAACAACTTATGACACATTTCATGAAAGTTACACATCGCATAAGTCTACGACTTGCACAACAAATTATGGCATAACTTACGCAATTATTTTAAGTGGCATAAGTTGCGCCCATCATGATCAGTTAAAGGCTCTTCATTGCTCAACTTAATAAGTTTTTAAACGAGAAATGCACAACTTTTGGGGGGCGGAACGAAAAACTTGCTTGGCTGTGAGAAAACTCAGGATTTTCTGCTCAGTTCGGACATGCATGTAGATGAAACTTTTTCAAAATGATGGGTGGAAGTAATTTAACAATTTAATGACTAGTTTTAGTGCAAAGGAACAAGAACACCTGTCACAAAAGCTGTGGTTGTCCTCGTCCAAGATATTTAATACAATTAAATATACTGCACAGCAAAGCAACTTTCTGTGAAATCGGCCATACTGTGCATTACACAGCTACGCCAGAAATATGTGGCTTAAAGTTTAAACACGCTGCAAAGTTATACATGTAAATGCCACCTTTCATGGAATCAGCTGCTCATTTCTATCTTTACCTTTTTTCTTTTTATTTTCAAACAAACACTCCTTTCTGTTTTATGGCTATCTTTGTAGGCAGTCCCAAGCGGTACTCAGATGCTTTTAAACATTTAAATTCTGTCAAAGTACAGATGGAAAATTGTTCTGGTGGTTCATTTTCTGAGTGCAATAAGCCCTTGTAAGCAGTTGACAGACACGTTTGCGCAGTTATTAAAAAATATGTCCAAGAAACAGGCATTTAGGGCTTAAAAAATTGAAAAGTGAGACACTAACCTGAGGGGATTCGCTGTGAAGCACTGAAATTCGGGTATCCTCGGCGTAGCAATCGCCAACTCACTCTCCTCCGACTGCAAGTCGGTCTGGTACCTGATGAACATGTAATTTCTTACAATGGACTCAGTCTGCTCAACCACATTGTCCTCCGTGTCGGGCGACAGTCTCTCGGTGGTTTCCGTGGAGGTCGACTGGTAGGTGGCCATGGCTGGCTCGGCGGATGCACGGCTTAGTCTGCGCTGGGCTAGGCTTGCTGTTGGAACGTCATTCAGCCTCATGTGTGAGGCAGCATGGAACGGCACTTCTTGTGGTTGCTGTGGCTGCTGCAGTCGTCTGGTTTCCTCCCCGTTATCGTTCTCTATGACAAAACGATGCAGAAGGAACACTCTGATAAGTTCAACTGGCAAGATGGGTATAGCCATGATGAGAGATGCACAGTGCAGCAAGTATAAATTTTAGTAAGTGTGACACTGGAACCCACAAAATCCAGTTCACAATTTTCAAATGCGATTTCAATTACATGTATGTACATGTATAGTTGATGGCTACTGTTGATAAGTTAGTCCGATTGTCAAACCACAAAGACTGCGTTGTGACTGAATGTGAAACACTTATGAGCACAACAATCTGCTTAATGAGCTGGACGGAATTGATCTAATCTTCACACCGGCAACGTGCGTTATCATCTGAACCAGAGTGAGCTTTGGCCACCTCTTAAATACGCTAGGCAGCGTTAACGAGTTCATCCGGAATGCCAAACGTTCACGGCCACCTGTTACCAGGGGCACGGGGCAGCCATGCAGTAACAGCCAGCGTTATCACCAACATCCCCTCCCCCTCCTCAATGAGCATGCTCAGACAAACGGCACACGCACACCAAGAGCGTCAGCAGGACTTGCGCTTGGGGGAAAAAAACATTGATCCCAATCTCACATGAAGAGATACGACCTTGCCTTGCAACACAGGGAGTGCCGAGATTCAATTTGCAAACCACACATGTTTGGATGTCACGGCACTAATGAGATAAAGATTGGAATAAATTGATCGCTTTGGACGATGGGGGCATCTGCAGTTCACGCACGCTGGGAAGGGGAGGAACTGGACACAGAGCAAGGCTAGGACGAAATAAGAGGAGAAAAGTAATCATCAAACCTTCGGGGTCAAGGTCAACTCGGAAGAGGAAGTTATTAACGTTGTGTCATGAATGAGATTCTGGACGTGAAAGGTTGCTCAGGAGTTGGTAAAGATCAAGGTGATGATCTAATTAATACTGGGGTACCTTGTAAGTACAGATGAATGGGCAAAACTGGGCCGGACTTGTCTCGAAACTTTGTACATGTATAGTGCCTGCTCCATCAATGGCCTTCTTAAAGATCTACTTAAGTATATTAGGTCAGTTTACACTTTCACATGAATGTTTCACGTACAGGTATCAAAGAAAGCCAAAAGTATTTCAAGCTAGTACAAGGCATTATTTCCTCATTTCAGCACGATATAATCTTCATCCAAAAAAGGAAAAAAAAAAGTTAAAAAAAAAAATCTTATGTACCTGTTCACGTCCCAGTACACTGTAAGCTTCACATTATTTAATCAAAAGGTACTCATACCCTGTATGGTCTTAATTACACAAAATCTTATGAGAAATATAAGTACCTTGGTAATAGGTAAACGGTTATTGTCCAACACTTGGTTAATGTTTCTTTGAACTTTTTGGATTCAAGATGTTTGGCCTTTTAAATGTAAATTTCTAATTTGTTTCCATGACATTTCAACTAGCCTAATTTGCAATAACCAATTGTTCCACAGTTTATCTTTAAATTAAAACAATTCAAGAAGAGAGACTTAAAAACAAAAAGCAACATGAAATAAACGAAGGTTAAATGGCCCCTGAAACAATGAACAGATATCATGAAGCAAGAATGCAATTAGAAAATAAGATCCTAAACCCATTATCAGATGATAATTCAAAGCCCGGCCTTGGGGGGGGGGTAGTAGGGAGAGAAGGTGATTACACAGTCGTCCCTTTCTCTTAACTGGAAAAAAAAAATCGAACACGCACAGTGAGCACGTGCATTGTGCTGCCATCACACAATGGAAGCGAGGGGGGGGAACGGCATGCCATTAGTAAAAGATAATTATCATGTTCGTCGGCAGCAGCTGGGATTACTGATGAATGTGTGCGCAGATGCTTTCTCCCAGGCAAGTTCATCCAGAGGACAAGAGGTGAGGTGGATGTCACTAGGTAGGAACAGGTCCTTTGCCACCCTGCCGGGCACCATTGTTATTGTAATGAGGCCTTAGTCACCCTTACTGGAGGATGAGTGTTGTGCAGTACAAGTAAACAAGACGACGATGCTGGATTTGTAAGACGGAAACAGGAAGCAGCCGAGGCAAATATACGAGTATACACACCTTGAACAATAAGGGGCAACAAAGGCCAAGAAATACAAGGGCTTCCCTCCTCTGGACAGCAACAGACAATTGCCTCCTTCAACACACACACACTGTAGTTTTCCAAAGAGAAGCATGACAATTTGACTTACCAGAAAGATCACAAAATTCCTAATGTACATGTATATGCACAAATTCAAATCTCATACATGTACATACTGTGCATGTTTGTGTACTGTAATTGTGGGCATGCTACATGCATATGTACATGTACATTTTACATTACAGTACACGCACTCGTACATTACACTAGACATGTACATGTACATGTATATATAAGTGAACATGGACTTTCGTTGTTAGATACCGGTACATGCAGGTTGGTTTGCTCCAAGACTACAAGATAATCAAGCACCCAAGACCATGTAACATGGATGTAAACTGGTACCAGTAAATGTGGTAAACAAATCCATTCCAATTTTTTCCCCAGAGCTACCGGTATTACAAGGGTCAAAAATAAAGGATGTTTTTCTGACCCCCAAAACTCTGTCTGGAACATGTACATGTACATATTCCAAGAAGCTTGGCTTTCACAGAAAGAAAAAATCTAATCAATAAATCAATAGGCCTCTCATGACTGAGGCTCCAGTCACTCCACGTACATGTAGTACATGTACGGTATGAGTTCACTACATGTACGCAACCTGAAAATGAACTGGTGACTGTGCATGTACATGTACATGTACGTGTACTTTGACTACACTGATCACATTTGTCATGGAGGACCAATGATCTGCAAGCAATGACCAACTTACCTTGGCGCAAGCTCAATGTACGATGGAGGCTGACAGGTGATGTACACGTGCACACCATGCACTGTGTGCCCACAGGAGAGAACTGACCCATGGTCATGGGGAGAGTTCATAGAGTGCCCCAAGGCACAAAAATGTCAAATGTGCACAGTCAAAAGAATTTATCCCTGCAGTGGGTCCTTTTTTCTGCTCCCAGAGTTAGATCCACCCCAGGCTGACTTCCAGAATGAAGAAACCACAGAACTACAGTATGTGCTACAGAGCTGGCAAGTGACCACAGTCAGCTGTTTCAGCAAACTCAGTTAGAAATCAATGTCTGTTCACATGCAAATCACTACCCTCTGTGTGGTGTAAAATTCTGCTTGTAGAGACTTGGAGAGAGAGAAAAAAAATCACGGAAGAGTGGACTCCAAATGCTGCAGACCACAATCCACCCAAACAAGCAGAATCTCGTCAGTGCACAGAGAAACCGCAGCTTTGAATGTTCACAGCAGTATGATCACGGTCAACCGGGTACAGACTCTCCCGGATCAGTTTAAACCAATGACGTGAAAATTCTCTAACCTTGAATAGAAAAAACCTACACAAATTTGCACGCAGATGCCATTTGTGCAAGGCACTCGATGTTTTCTGGTCCAAACCCTTTGGTGTCAAGTTAAGTACTGTGCCTCAAATTGTCAACAACTGGGTAATATACACACAGCTCCTCCCACGTGGGGCCAAAGTCACAACTATTATTAACTGTTCTGCGTGACTAACGTTGCACAAATGCAACAAAGGAACAAAGGCTCAAAGAAGTTATTTTGGGATGTCCACTCATCCTTTGTCGTGACTGACAGTGGGGGGGATATGAATTATGCATTAACAAGGGGGATGAATAATGCATTTGAGTCACTTGTCTTATCAGTTTGCCTGAGCAAGAGCTGGCCAAGAAAGGGCCACAAAACTGAGACCTGTTTACAGCATGACGACAGAGTTAGTTTTACGTGATTCATACAGGATTGTTAAGTTAAGGAGGGGATTCCCAAGCAATAAGATCTATTTGACCAACAACTAGGGCACATGCGTGGGGGCCACATGTACATGTAAGGCACATGTGCCTGTAGTCCACAGTAACTCTTTGCTCGCACAGTAACACAGCAAAAGCTCAGAAACCTTACTTAAGTTCTTAAATCCAACAACAGTAGATCAAATATCAGTAAACTGTAAGTTTGCCGTGACTCCTTGTTTCTGTTTGTGTTTTTCATGGGGGCACAAATTCCTAATGCTTCAAAAAATACACACTAACTAATCATTCTTTAGACAGATTACACGTTCACCTGTAATTGATTAACAAGTAGTGTTACAGACAACAGAGGTTTTCTCAATGTACTTTGCAAATATGGATTTGATGCCAAATAGGATCGCGAATCATCAATGCAATCAGAACTGATTTCAAAACAGTTTGTGCATACACAGCTTCAAGTGTGAAGCCTGCTCAATCATGTCAATGGACAAGCTGAATCAAAAACGATGCTTTATTGTTTGTAAATTGTAGTCAACAAAATGTAAATTAGGCTTTCTGCAGAGAGACGTGTTTACTTCAGGACGGTTGATACTTAAAAGCAACATAAAAAATATACATGTACATGTAATGTACTTGTACAAAACAAAAATTACAGTTAACATTTGGGAGCTTTGACTTACCCCTATCACCAACAGTTGCATTCCAGTTGGAGAGAAGGTTCCGGGCAAAACAAGAAAAGGCTAACATTTTCAAAGTTTACCAGTTCACAACCAAATTGAAAGGTGCTGGCACGTGACCCAAGCCAGTTTCTGATCAAATCAAGCGTGGCACAACTCTGGTAGCATTCCAGGAAAAGACTGGGCAGTGTGCAACGATTTTCAAGACTGGGTATTACCCTGGACTTTCCTAACTAGGTTTTTTCCAGAAACTTCCATTATCGATACAATGCACATTCAGTATTCTTTAGTGCCGCGCATTTCATTTCCACATGTGCTTATGTCATGAAACTAAAAACTTTGTTTCCCTTACACGTGTTCTGTAGTGTAACACCCACACAATCATGTAAAAAAAGGACACACACACAAAGCAGGAAATGCAAATACTCAAAACTTCCGTTGCCACTGCAAATCTCTATTAACGCCAGTGACCACAAGTGAATCAAAATAAAAAATTCCCTCACGATTCCACTTTGTGTAAATGTTGAGACAGGAAAGAAAAGCATTTCCCTGCCAATGCTACATGTACCGGTATACACCCATTCTTAAGATCCTGGATATCTCGTCTAATCAGTAAGGAGAAACAAGAAGGGGCATGGAGATAAGAATGCCGCCTCAAATGCATCGATAAACTGGCACCCACCAAATCAATTTTTAAAATAATGTACATGCTTGTACACATGTGAATATACACATGTACATGTATACCTGCGCAAGTACACATATAAAAATACCCATGTGTCCTTCAACATAAACTGGTTTTCTATGCCCAAAACACCCATATCAAACATATTGTGAAATAAGATACTACTGTATATACATGTACATGTAACTTGAAACAGTTTAGACTGTTATACAGGGTGTTTGGGAGGGGAGGGGGCAGTAGTTTTCCCCAAGGTTCTTGGCAAAGGAAATTCTGGCAAATTCAGTACACGTACATGTACAGGGAAGTACATGTACGGTACGTAGGCGTTGCTTGTTTTTACACACAACTCAAAGAGAGTAGAAACTAGAAGTGTGCCAAAATGTCATCGACTCTGTACTATAATAGGTGAATGGCGCTATCAATCAGGCATTATTTTAACTATTTTAACTACCCCTGCCATGTAGGGGTCTATGGCATTTTGTACACCCAAGGGGGCAAACGGCACTCGAGGTGAAGTCGAGGGTGCTAAATACTGTTGAAAAGTATTGACAAGATTGAAGAGCAGATGAAAAGAGACAGTGGCATGAGCATTTAATATAAACTGCAATGGCAGTTCGGATTGCAGAAATAGTGATCCCAAGACTACATGTATATAGCTACATGTAGCAGCACAAACAGAAGTCTAATAACTCGGGGGGGGGAGGGGGAGGGTTCCCTCATGGTCAGAGTGAAAAGAGTATGGTAGCACATGAGAACAGACACAGTGCTTCTAAGTCCCCCACACAGATCACATCTCCAGTAACTGGTGCGTTCTAGTACCACGGCGGTTATCCACCCTCGTACCCAAGATTACACAATTACAACGCAGCAGACATGACAAATCAACTATGGGAAAGATCACCGTTATCCATCATTTTTTGCGGCCTGACAACATCACCAGAGTGCGTGACACGTGAATGATACGTGCACGCTTGTAGCACATCACATAATCAGTTCACGACCAATAAAAATTCACTATCCACATGTACGACCGTGGTATAACAAATTCATATGGAAATGTGCTATTTAAGTAGAAAGTAGATTTAACCTGTAGATAACCTGCACTACGGGGGTCCTTGTATATGTACATTATGTAGAGGTACACACCGGAACTAAGGGATAGATGCCGAATGCAAAAGGGAAAACCTTCAGAACAAGTGAAAAGGGAAATAACCAACAAAGTTTGAATAACATGTAACAGCCTACATGTACATGTATAATGGCATTCAGTTTTTCAGGCGTAGATTTTCCATACACTGACATGACATGCACAGTGTAAATACAAATTGGGAAATCCCCACTTTTGAAATCTGATAGTGCTGCATGTCTGTAATTAAAGGGACTTCCCACGTGGGACAGGTCACAAGTCCAGACATGCCTTTGAAACAAAATACAGATGTACCCCTTTCTTTTCATGAAATTCTGATTGACAAAACTGTACTAAGCATGAAACACATTTATTGAAAGAGGTGCAATACACGTACTGGACACAAGCGAATATATATGAGCAACAAAAATTCTGTACGGTATTTGTGCAATAACATCATGGAGGTCTTACAAAATCAAAGGAATGTTTTAAATCAAATAAAAAAGTGCTCCTGTCATTTTTGTAGCAAAAAGTATATTGAATGATTGATCATTTATTGTTAACTGAATATTCAAATGACTTTTATGAACATATAAAAGCAAACAACAGAGACCATAAAAAGGCCCATCAGTATTTCACAGGATATAAGAAAAAATCTGATCCCAAATTCTTCCTGAAAACATTTTTTCATAATTCTTTCTAGGCAGGGTCTACATACCATGCATGTCCATGCAGCTCAAGATGGCCTATGGATCACCCGCATATAACCCTAAGCATACATGTACATGTACATGCTACATTCACATGTACATGTAGGGCTAATTGTTAACCTGTCCTTCAACCTTGCTACTGTACATTCAGTCCTGAAAACGGGGAAATGTAGGAGAGAGGGAAAAATCTTGTACTCCTAAGTCCTGTGTACATGTACCTGAACAAGTACAGCAGCTGAAGAATGACTTGCCTACTGGCAGCCTCCATTCAGTGGGAAAACACTCAAGTACATGTACATGTACATGTAGGCCTTTAATGTACACAAATACCAACACCGGTACATGTACATGTGCATTCTCTTCATTGTAGTGAAAAGTTCAGACTAAAAGACCATTTTTTTTTCTTAATCAATTCAGGTTGGTGTCATGCCTTGCATAACTGTTTTCTTAAAAGGGGTTCCCCTTCATTACCAAACACCTTGGAGAGGGGTGGCATTTTTTTTCTTTGGCTCTTAGCCAAAACCAACTGAAGTTACATGTGCACTGTGGAATTTTGGGAGGAGTTTGTTTACTACATGTAACATTATCGCACACACACACAAAAATGGAAATTTGCCAAGATTTTAACCTCAGCTTTAAACAATAGGGTATTGGTTTTTTAATTTTTGGTACCAATACCAAAAATCCCTCAAACAATATTTCCAAATCTGGCATTACCCTCTTTAAGAACGGGTTTTGGGAACTCCCACCGATGGACAAGTTTCAACATGACCCACAGGCAGGTTCAACTTGGACACCATGTGGATAACAGTCTTTGAATTTCTGTAAAACTGCTGTCAAAGTGTGATCAAAATATACTGTTCCTGTGGAAAACCACCCAAGGTTCGAAGCATGCGCAGTTCATGTACCGGTACATGTAAAAGCCCCTCTGTCCAGCTGTGCTCAGCCCTGAGTTAACAAGAATTCAATTCAGAGACCACTTAGTCTCACTTGTGTTGCTGGCTCATATGCACTTCGGGTATCAGGGCCTCTGGGCGGTTTTCAGGAAGCTCTCCAGAGTCCTTTCCAAGTGTGTGCACATGATGCTGTGACATCTTGGGTACAAGATAATGTTAGAACAAAACACGGGCGGTATCTCAATCCAGCATCTTCAACATCCTCAACAAAACTTAACCATTCAATTTAAGATTAAAATGCATTGACACTGCCTGCAAAGAATGCCTCAAATGTACATGTACCGGGAAAATGTACATACACTGTACCAGTACACACATACATGTACATTGCGGCATTTGGATTATTTCATTGCACAGACTGAGGCTTACAAGTGCAACCAGGTGACAATTTTTGATTCAAAGAGAAATTCCGCAGCTTATTTCCCAGCAAAGTTGGAAAATCACTTAACCTTGTACATGTACATAACAAAGTTTACTATACGGGGCAGCGCGGACATCCGGAAGTTTCACAACATTGCGGGCAGCAACCACAACGAGCCAATGAAAACAACTGCAACGAGCATGTATAAACATGTAC